ATTACCGGCCTTACACTTAAAGTTCTCTTTTTAAAATAAGTCGTTTTGAGATAAAAACACACACAAAACAAATAAAACAAAAAAATAGAGAGAGAAAAAAAACGTAAAAAGTTATTCAAAACATTCCACGTTGCCGTCGTCGGTCTAACCCTGGATGGTGGCGTAAATGGTGGAGATCGTGCCAAACACAATGCCAGTGACACCCGCCACCAGCATCACGTACGTGAGGATGTAGTTGATGGCGCCCACTTTCTTCCACGTCCAATCGCCCGAATACATCACAAACAGCGCCGGAAGGAGAAATCCCAGAGAACCACCGGTGATGGAGCCTGCAAAGCCTAATACAATTTGGACCTTGGGGATGAAGAGACCAAAGATAAGCATGAGGAGCGAAAGAAACGTCACGGCAATGCAGTGCTTCCAGTAGGGCAACTTATCCACGTCCCACCCGAGACCGTGGTAGATGGCATTGCGTGCGGCCATGAAAAGCAGCGCGTAGGAGGCGCACAGCTTTGAGAGCACACCAACGTACGCCACCAACACCTCCGGCTCATCGAGTGGGTGGTACATGAGCAGAATGGAGCCGTCCACCTTCTTGCCAAAGTCCATGTAGCCAAAGAAGCTTGTCATGCCGTACAGCAGGAAGCAGAGCGTCATGCCAAGGCCGGCGGCAAACGTGAACCGCGTAAGCGTGGGGTTCTTCATGTCCCAATACACCTCAAACGCATTAATTTGACAAACGTAGGCGAACATAAAGACGCCGAGGCCCTCGATTGCCTCGTTGCCGGAATTGAAGAGCACCACAGCGGAGTTGTCATCCTTGCCCATGCTGGTATTGTGCATGTTTTCCGACAGCCCGTGCGTGCAGGAGTGCACCACAATCACCACGACGAAGTAGATGATGAAGGAAACCGCGAAGGTGGAAAAGTAGCGAAGCGAGTCGACGTGCTTCGGGATCACCAACGGCATCATCGCGCAGAGCCACACAATGACTGTCAGCAGGCGGTTGCCAGCCGTTGTCTTCAGAAATTCCGGCGCGCTCTGGCTGTGCGTCAAGACGTTATCGAAGATGTCGCCGACGCTGATCACGTACGCGACGCAGCCGCTGAGCCCATGGAAGACGCGGACCGACGCGACAAACAAAGCGAACCAGCGGCCCATCAGTACCACTGCCATGGCCTCGAAGTTGCTGATCTGCGTCCGCTGCGCCGCCACACCGAGGCAGTACATCGAGTAGATGGTCAAAAACGTAATGATCGCAAGGTACACGATGGCCATCACGGCCCCACTTTTGTTCGCAGCCAGGGGCAGACCAAGGATGCCGGCCCCGATCGACGACGACGCGAGGTTGAAGGCGCTCGCAAGGATTCCTCCAGGTGGAATTACGACGTTCACGCACGTGTTCAGCTTCGCGAGAAGACCGTTGGGAGCCGGCGACTGGTTCTCAGACGGCGCATTTGCCTCCTCTTTCTTGGCGATGCTGCCCTCATTGTAAGTGGAGGGGTGCGGCGAGAAAGTGTCATCGTCGGGACGTGTGCCCCTCGTGCCGGGAGCCGCGGCGGTAGGCGGGTGCATAGCGGTCAGCGCTGTCTCTTCGTTGCCAGTCGTGCGCATGTGATTGCTTCTCTCTCCAGAGGCTTTAGCTTACTACAGTTGCGACAAGAAGAGGTGGAAAGAGAGAGAGAGATGGAAAGGTGGAGGGAGGGTCG